CCCCCCACCACTGCCATCTCCCTCGTTTCGCGCTCCGTCGTCGTCGTATCCCCGCCCCGGCTTGGCCATGGCTGGCACGAAGCCTTTGCCAACAGCGGTTGTAGCTCTCTCCGCCTGCAGTTGCAGCATCTGGTGCGCCACACCCCCTCTGTACGCGCCGTCGGCGCTCGCCGCAGGGTGCACACTGCACGCACCATCGTCTTCTTCTTCCCTGGGCAACCCAATTCAACGTCTGGCCGTTGTAGCAAAACAGCTTGTCGTTTGTAGCTTTTCGTTCCCGGGTTGCAGCAAAAATGGAGCGCCACTACGTCTCCCCGTACCAATCCTTGACATGTAGCAAAAATAATCACAGGTTCCAGCTGCTACAGATGCTGCTTCCAGCAATTCTTCTGCCGGTTGCAACTTTTGTGTTCTCGATTCCAGCAAAAATGACAGCAATGGCGCAGTCCGCTCTCCACCCTAGTAACAAATGTCCTAGCTGGTTCCATCTATTTGTGTCGTTGGTTCCAACTTTTTGCTCTGCCGGTTGTAGCACCGCACCCATGTCTTGTCCGCGCTGGCTTTTGGATGTAGCACCGCCCCATGTCGTTGAAGCTTCTGCGAGCGCTGGTTCCAGCTTTTTGTACCGTTGGTTCCAGCATCGACAGCGACGGGCGGTTGCAGTTCGTCGGCCGCCGGTTGTAGCACGGCCCGGGCCGGTTGCAGCTCGCCCGCTGTTGGTTGTCACCGCTTGATGCCGGGATCCAGTTCGCTAGCATCACAACATCGCCGGGGTGCAGCAGGTCGCCACGCTGGTCCCAGCCCTCCTGCGGCTCGCCATGGCCTCGCAACGGCGCTCTCACAACACAGGGGCGACGGCGGACGCGAGTGTCTGCAGCATCCTTCAATCCTTACTCGCGGGGGACCTTCAATCGAATGGCGGCTTGTCTCCGACACACTGCCGGCGACAGATGAGCGGCGAGGGAGAGGCGCATGGATGGGATGGGATGAGTGACGGGGGAGAGGTGGAGAAAGATCAAGAGAGAAAAAGATAAAAGAAGTGAGAGGACGTGGGACCAGTGCGCAGTGTGATGCGCGAGCGAGCGGCTTCGGCCGGTGTGCCGTTTGCAAACGTTTTCCTTTGTTTTTACGTTGAGCCTGATCGGTCTTTTTTTATGGAATGGCTTGGTGGCTGATCAACTTTCTATTTGACATGATCAATCTTTTTTTTGAGGGATGGGGACTGATTGATCTAGCACAATGCTTAAAACGTTTCAAGGTTTCACGTAAAGAAAAATTAGCTACAGTTATTTTTTTTCTTTTTGAGGTGGAGCTCTCTCGGGCCTAATAATCCATTAATTACATATGTACAGGCCGTGGACAGCTGCAGTTTATTTTTCTCTTTTGATCTACCGCACAGGCTCGAGATAGCTACAGGGTTT